AGTGTTGCTAAACTGAAACAGAATATTGCTCGCTTAATGAGAGCGAAAAAAGCAGTGTTCTGTCACTACGAAGTGAACAATGTTATCATCATGGTGCTGCATTTTACCTGTGGAAGGAGTGAAAAGAAACTGAAGTCGTTCAGCAGTCTGCAAGAAATCCGTGATCGAGCAGTTTGTTTCGCCTGGAGCAGATGAAGTGGATGGTTCATTGCTCAAGTCGCAGTTCGATGGACTTAAACTTTCTTCAAGTAATTTTTGTGTATGACGCCTCTTCCTGCTAATCACTCGCTGCATTGAGCCAAGCTTTGGCAAACCTGCAATATGAGAAAATAATACTGAAAAGGCTTGCGGCTCTGCCTGCTGGGCTCCAATAATACCAAGATTATTAGGATCGTCAGGACTTTCCTGTTTTAGTGATGTTACTGCGATGCTTCCACACGTCGGTTGCAGCTATGCCAGGTCCTGGCCACAAATCTTCTTTTAATACCCTCTTCTGGTTAAACTTATGCTTGTTGTCTTTGCAAAAATCGTCAGAATGGTCATTTACCTTCTCGCAAATACCACTTAATAATACTTAGTAGTAAACAAATTATCGGCAAGGTGAGCAACGAGCTATATTATCGGATTTCACTTTTCATTAATATTAGTGTTGAGAACAATTCCGAGCAAAGAATTTCAGAAATCCGAAAATCGAATTTGACGAGTTCTCCGTCTTTGAACAGTACTGTCGGAAACTGCAGTGGTTGCTGTTGTGAAATACTGACGCCATATTTATTTTCAAAACCAACAAAACTACCGGTGAGGAAAAATAGTTCGTATTTTGACCTGAAGATCCAGCAAATGATGCTAAATGAACGGCTTCATGATATAAGAATTTCGAACTGCTGGTGGGATCCTCGGCAGCAGCATACAGCCTTGCTTTCAATATGTCTGCTACAACCTTCACCGGATTTGGTGGATGTGAATGAGGGCTATACGTCTGAAACGTTTAAGTTTCATAAACCATCTGTAAAAACAAGCTCATAAAATAGTCCAGTAAAGTTTCGACCTCTGTATACATGAAGATGGATGAATTCAAGAGAAAAATATTGGACGCAGCGGGAAAATAGGTGAAACGGAATACCACTCGAGCCCACTGCTCCGCACAAAACTTTAATTAGAACTGTAAGAAAATCTGCATGCTGGACGAGGCAGAATGTTACAAGCTTTGAAGATAATCGAGGAACACCGCTGTTAGTGAAAACTACCAAGAATGCCAGTACCACTTGGGCTGGCACTACAAGTATCTCATGTTAATGATGTCATTAGGATGTTCGCACACACCGGGCGCAGCTGTACCAAGTCCTTCGATTCTGGGCTATATACCTCCAGCCAGCATCCACAGCCTGTTTGATCTATGTGCGCCACCCTCTCGGGGATTGCCCGAGTGATAGTCTGCTTTCACATGAGTACCACTCACTAATGTGCGATGTCCAACAGCTTTCTGCAAGGCAAGCAACGTGCCTTGTCCATCATACTTACTTTTTGAGTGATCATAATGATATCTTGCAAGCCGCTCATTTGACCGAAAATCTGAATTTTTATGTGGGTTTGAAAAGACACGTCAAGCATTCTCCGTTTTACCGCTCCCTCCGTTACAGCTTGCGCTCGCAGCCATTAACTAAACCAATAAGTTGTCAATGGCTCTTCACAAAACCAAGAAATGAGCGTATATAAAGTGCTAGGCATTCCATCTCAGGCTACTACAGTCACAGAAGAACATTCTTTGGATATCTGCTCAATGGATCTTACTTCCTTACGTAGTTGCAATGATATATTGTTAGCAGCAATTTTTATTACTCAAGCTTATTTCGCAAAAATTTCTGACAGTGACTTGTCCTGACAGGAATTACCAGAAAGTGAACTAAGTCGCGCTTCAACAAAGGCAACGTGGGAATAAGGTTCTTCGGTCTGTTTGGGAACGTGTTATAAGCATAAGCAAGTCAAACAACCCATTCCTTGATGAAAAGGAAAAAAGGAAAATAACGGACGTCAAGGAAATCCTCGGTCATACGAACTCGACCGCTACATTTGTAGCCTGGTTTCTTGCTCATTTCACAGCGCCACAATACGTATTTCTGATGGCGCTTGTCCAAGTTATAAAGATAACCGTCGTAAGCCAACTTTTCGAAACCTTTTTTAGATCGAAAAATTTGAACGCCTGAATTCGGTACCTAAAAAATACTGACAATAGTAATGATTATTTTAGTTTTCCTTCAAATTCTTTCGCAAGCAATAATTTTATAGATGGCCAGTGTAAAACGAATTTGCGTAACTAATGGGTTCCTAGGAAAGCAACATAACATGGATCGAGCAAAAAAACTTACTGTTCCTTCAAAAGTCTTTTCGAGGATTTAACCCTCAATAAATATTACATTCCAGAAGAAGAAAAAATTTCACTTGTTTACTTCAAAATCCAAAAAAAAACCATTCTGTATTTGCTTTCTGTTACAGGCGGGCACACTCGAAAATTTTCTAAGTATAGCAAGTGCCAGAAACAACCCAACTGTAAAGCGGCAATTTAAAAAACACGAATTAATTTCTCGTTCCCAACGCTCATTTATTTTAGGAAAGCTAATTCCCCCACAGTTCAGTGGAATGCCAGTTGATTTTGATGTGCATAACATGCTAAAAGCTGAAGTCTTTTTCGATCATTTGATCAGCTGTTGTTTCATCGTCGTATTTCGGCTCGCAGCTGGCTATTTAAGCTTTGATTTTTTGACTAGCTGAAATTTAAACCATTGATCCCCATCTGCGCAGCTGGAAAGTCTTGAATTATATTTGAGCAAAGCTGCACCGCCTGCAGGCGATCCTGACATTCGTTTTGAATTCCGAAGGGACTGCCAGTTCAGCGCTCCTTCCGACTTTTGAAAATCGATTCAAAAATGCAAACTTATTTCGAGGAAAATTTGCTCTAGCATTTAGGATGAGTATACCTTGCGCATGTACATTTCGACGATCCCATTCCTAGGTAATTCACCGCTATCTCTGCCTTTCTGCCCGCAGATAAAGTTCTGCTTTGTGCTGACTCGATCGTTGACTTTGTTTCCTTCCGATTCTTCCACTATCCCGTCCTGTTCATTGCTGTTCAAAGCAATAATTAAATTTGATTCATCCGAATTAGCTTCCTCTTTCGGTTTAACGATTCCAGTTAACTGCGCTAACAGATCCATGGTGCAACAGCTGCAAATTAATCAGTGGAAACAAAAATTTTGACAAAACCGGCTAATTAAAATCAGTAAAAAGCACTGTGCACTGAGTTCCAGAATCTTGCCAGGATTCAACGTAAGAATATGAACTCAGATCAGACCAGTTCAGTGACTGAAGAGAGCGAGAGCTTAGTACAAGGAGGAACAGTCACAAATAAAGGCGATTCTAGATTGCAGGTTTTCCTGCAAAAGGGCATGGAGCTTCATCGAGACAAAAGTAAATATACCTTGCGTAACTCATTCTATGAAAAGCAAAGGCTTACAGAAGCAGCTCAAATAGCAGCACATGCCAACAGCAACCATGCACTAAATGGTTCTCTCTGTCAATGGCTCTCTTTTCTAGGAGTTGCATGGATGCAAGCTGATAATGACTCCTAGCACTTCCAGTTGAAATCGTAGAGGGACTGACTTATCCTGTGGCGGAGTCGATACCTTAAATTTAAGCATGATGGTGGTGGAACAACCAATTCAGTTAGCATCGACTCGAACATCCCATAAATAAATAAGAAGCCTCACTACTGGACATTTATAACTTATTATGCGTTTTTTGCAGCTATGCAATGCAAAAAATTGGCCAACGCACGGGCTGCCCGTGCGAA